TTTAAATAAAATAAATTGTTTTATTTGATTTCAAAAAATAATGTTGAAATCAAAGAAATTTTTTTCTTTAACCGCATAGGAAAGAAACATTTCTTTAAATCGAAGAAACCTTTCTCTGGGTGTGATGTTTATCGTTAAAAAATTCATGCCAACATGAATTAATTCAATCCTCAAGCGTAAGGCACGTGCGGCGTTTAGACACGTCGCCATGGCGGAAGCGAACTCACACACTCTCTCTCTCTCACACACACACACACACACACACATGTACGTACAGTACATGTAGCGTACATACGCGGATGCTGTCGAGGAATGCGATATTCGCGGGCAGCGAGCAAACGCCGACGGGTGAGAGTACGGAAAACCTGGAGGTCTGCCAATTTGCGCGACGTCCAAATGACCGTGCCGTGAGAGGACTTTGCTCCTTCGGGGTTCCCTGACTTTACGCGTTCGTTCCGCGTGTACCGGCGAAATTGCATTATCAAACTTCTCTTCCTTCTCTCCCTTTCCTTTCTCTCCCTTTCATGAGCAATACAAATTATATTAATAGCGATGCGCTGGGAAAATAGAAAATTAGGAACCTACAATGTTGACAATCGGAGGCAGAATGCTCCTCGGGATATTTTCTTAAATTAGAAAATTAACGAATTTATTCTTTTCAACGCTGCCCCATAATTAGAGATTTTCGAGCTTCAAGATCCACATTCATATCTCATTTAGCGCGTTTCATCGTACGTGTGAATCGTGCGCGAGACATTATCTGGGTCTGAGAATCGAACAGCTCACAATTAACGTTAAATGCACGATGCGAGTAGGGAGCCTAAATTTTCTTGCCTCCACGGTACAAAATCGCCGTCGTCGGCGATTAATTCTCGCGATTAACGCGAACGAAATCGGCGAGGAGGATGAGACGTGTATCGTGGAATTGTAATTAACGTACACGATAAATTAGTACGAGTAGTACGACGATAAATGTCACGCGTAAAACATTTCGTATATATTTATGTATATATGTATATATGTATGTAATGTATCTATATCTTTATATAAAAATATATTTTACCATATATACATATATATGTACTTTTCATTGTATATAGAGTGGTAGTTAAGCATTACATAATTTTGGAGACTCATTCTCATCACACTAAATTAAAGGCGGCTCCCCAGACGACATGGCCAAGTACGTCAATATTATAGCAAATATTACACACATAAACACACACATGGCATGATTAGCTATATATTTAGACCAATATTCAGCGAATGTACGTACATCATGGCCACGTCGTCTGGAGAGCCGTCTTAAGACGAAAACTTCGTAAGACCATATGTTTGAAACAGTTTACTTTCAAAAATATAAAGTGTCAAAATTCAAGGAAAAATTCCAAAAAAATTCGGATTATTTTAATGAAATTGTGTACATTTTAACTACAGTTTTTTCGAAATTTTTGGGAAAAACAAAACTTTTCCTTTAATTTTGACATTCTTTAAAACTCTGACACTCGTTTCTACCAATGCAGTTTAACTTTCAACTTACTCGTCATCTTTTTCTTATTCTTAAAACTAGAAAAAGATGAGTTAATTGAACCGAGATTAAAGTTAAACTGCATTGGTAGAAACGGGCATAAGTCATTTTGAACGATATATGATCATATAAAATTTTTGAATTATGTAACGTAAAGAATCATCTCTTAAAATTTGTTAGAGTATATATTGGATGTTAAAGGAGCAATATTAACTTAATTCCGTGAATTAAATAACATTTTGTCACTTTTCATTCCCATGTAAGTCAAAAAGTAAATGAATCCATTTTTATAATGATTAGTGTTTCACAGTAAATACTTTTTAAATACACAACCTTACAAATACTTTCAAAAAACGTCAAAGCATATACGCGAGAATTACTTATAATAATTTTGCATATTTATTAAAGTAATGATGAAAAATTAATCCGAAACACTGAATGTGATCCGTCCTATGTAGTACAGGATCGGAAAATCAATCGTGAACTAATGGTTAACAGTACAGCTTATAACCATTCTGTATATATTTATGTATATTGCAATGTGGATACGGGTAAGGATCGCAGATAAACGCGATCTCGTCGATTCAATATTGGATGCAGAGATCGAACGGCAGCCGGTCGCGAAAGTATTGACCTTCTCCGCGGCGTTTTCCGCATTCCGCGTCGCGTCCTCAGGGTCAGTAATCGCGGCGCCGCCGACAAAACTTCCACCATCGCGGCTCACCGCTGAATCATGGACCGCTAAACTGCGTGGCGTCTTTAAAGGAACGAAGAAAAAAAGGAGAGAAAAAAAAACCCGAGGAAAAGAGACTCGTCTCCGCGACGATCTGGCACACCGCTGCCCGACCGCGATCTCGCGACGAAATCTAAGCCGCGTACACGGCTTATCTTGTAGAAAACAGATAAACTCGATGCATCGCGAGCCGAAGTAGAAAGGCTGACCGGTAACTGACCTCTAATCACTACTTAAGACAGTCGCGTGAAGTCCTTGAAAGCTTCGTGAAAAGGAGCGAGTATGGACGCTAAACAACAAGAATATAATTACGATAGCGGCTAATTGCCGTTTTGTAGAATACGGTGTCGTGAGAATGTCCGACTATTCTGCAACCGTGCTCCGAAATGCGATACAGCCGTTCTTCTGGCAAAACCGACATTGCGCCCGTTCCGGTAGACGTCACTTGCCAGGAGGAAGAAAGAAAATCAACAAGATTTAGAAATATTCCTCAAATCAATCGGCTATGTACATATACTTAGTTTCCTGAATTCACGTGCGATTCACGATCGTGAATTCTTGACATTCTGAAAATCTCGACTTGTTTTTGCGACTCGACGTGAGAACAAACGGTCGTTTTTTTCCCCCCCTTCAAATAAACACAAACAATTTTTTGCCTGCCAAAGGCATGAGAGATCGGTCGCGATCGAGGAATTTCGCAAATCCGCGCAACTCGCGCCGCCGCGGCTCGTCGATCGCGAGAAGGAAGACAACATTCTGGGTTACTCACCGAAAGCAATTCCTCCGGCACGACGGCGACCGTTCGGGGGGAGAGGGGAGACCGATCGGAGACTCGGCGGTATATCCTTCCGTAGAATCCCGGCGAGAATTAACCTCGCGGCGGAGGTAACCGCGTTATCCACGTGTACGAAACGTATTCAGACACACCCGACACTGTTGGCACACGCGAGAAACACGCGAACACCGCGCGACCCGCTGACACGTACGACGGTGCGCGATTTCACGGCAATGGAATTTTGTCACGTCGCGTGTTTTCTCAACGTACGGTACCGCAGACGCTCATGTTGCTGCACCACGGACAGTGAATTACCATTCCAGCTCCTTCCCTCTCCAAAGGAGTTTCTGGGCGTGGCTTAGCGCCGTAGAGATCCGAACGACAACGACTGCGCGCGAGGCGCACTCGCTCGCCGAAAACGCGAACTAATCACGCAAAACCGCGCGCGGGCGATTTGAATTCATTGTTTGATTACCGAAATGAATCGCTAACGCTTCTTTCCTTCTAAATAATACACTAATCCATAAAATATATTCTATTTTATTATATGTATGCGTGTAACAAATATTTTTCATTATATATATAAAGGGTGTTCGGTAAGATTGTAATAACACTTAATTAAGAGTAAATTTCTGAGATCATTTTAAGATGAAAATTCTAACCAAAGAGTAAAGGGTAATAGTTTTTGAATTATAAGCACTTAAATATCGCGCTTACGTAAGGTTAGATTTTTCGTTGTATTATATCTAAACGCACGAACTTTAGATCATATGATTCGATAATTTTAAGTGCTTATAATTTAAGTTACTTATAAAAAATTTAAGAACTATTATCCTCGATATTTTGATATTAATTTTCGTCTCAAAATCTCAGAAATCTACCCTTACGTATTGTTGGTTTTTATCGAATAATTTGTATATTGTACTATATGGCACGAATAAAAATCGCAGACAAATGCGATAACAAAATTTCAGTAAAAATAAAAAATCTAAAAATAAAAGAAATAAAAATGACAAAATCAAACTTTGTAGTTAACTTTACCGACTCGTAGTAATTTATTAATTGCAAAGTTCATAATTATCGATAATAGATAATATAATATTTTATATATTTTTTGTATTTTGTGAACCGCGAAACTTTGAATGACCAAAAATTAGCAAAGCATTGGTGGACAAAAAAATCAGCAAAAAAACATTTGTAAATTTCTAAAAGTTTTTGATAGTAAAAAATTTTAACTGTGAAATTCTAAACTCTCAAATACAAGTAAAATATCGGAATACAATCAAGTAAGAAGCGAAACTATTATTAAAATTCCAAGAGTTGCAATTTAGAAAAATTTTGAAAAATTTGTAAGATTTTAGATAAAAATTTAAGTTTTTAGAAATAGACAAAATAAAAAAAATATACTTAATAATCACCCAGCAAACGAGAATGGATTAAAATTTTTTTCTATGCGTATTTTGAATACTTTTTTTTAGATTTAATTGGATTCAATTAGATTCAATTGGATGCAATTGGATTAAAAAACTGCATTTTTTATTCCAAATTTTGAATCGAGCAGTATTCACAATGCACAGAAAAAGCTAATATTATTTTTAGATTGAGAGGCATAGAGATATACTCCATGCAATTCCTATAAATGAATAAAAATACACAATTGAAAAGCATTCATTTTAACATTTGTGAATCAATATTTCTAAAAATTTGAATCCATTTCAATCCATTTTCGTTTGCTGGGTAGATACTAATTAACTATCTTAGCAGTTGTAATTTTAAATCTTCCTAAAATTTTATATATGTATAGCTGCAAAAATTCAAATTCTCAAAAATTGACAAAAAGTCAAAAGAGTATCGGACGGCATATATCATCAGGTGAAAAATAGTATAATTGACAGAAATTTAAAAAATTTTCATGATAATGCAGATAACTCAAATGCCGGTCATTCAGTGAATGTTCAGTACTGCTAACGGTATTTTAAGATGTGCTAACTGCTAAGCTAAGATGTTTCTGCAACGCGGCAGCCGCTTCAGTTTGTTAATACATATTTCTCTGTGAGTTAATGTGATACAACATTCACGATGCACACCACGAATTTACATCAAATGCCAAACAAAGTACGTGCTATAATTTTATGTATTTAGCCACTTGATTATATGAATATAGTATGCGTCATCAAAACATAACCTTTCGAATAACAATCGTAGCATTCATAATTACTCGCTGACTTGCAAAAATTTAATATATATTTTTCCTTATCTCTATTTTTGACATACATAATATTTTTCCAATATGTTTGTTAAAAGATTGCATAATCTTTTCATTAAGAAATTTTTCATATTATTTTATATTGGACATGTTACTCTTTAGTATTTTGTAGCTGTTACACTTTTTATTTTTAGAGCGAAGCAGAATTGACTCCGGAGGAAAAATGGAGGCAAGTTACAAAATTATATAGTTATTTTATAACAAAAACCTTTTGTCGGTTTTTATAGTTTGACTTGTAACGTCTATGATTAGAAAAAAAAAATCTGGAAACGTATATTAATGTAATTTATATGAAACTAATTTTTTAGAGTGGAGCACATAAAGATGCACGAACAGCATCGAGGTCACGAATCTATGCACGCAGAAATGCTGCTTATATTGTTAGTGACGTTAACAGTAGCACAGATTGTACTGATTGAATGGAAGAAGAGGCACTTTAAATCATACCAGGTGGAATAAAATATTGTTTTCTTTATCACATTTTAAATATATAAAATTATATATTAATACAATATTTTTTTGCAGCTTGTAACACTAGTAGCCATGTGGATTATTCCATTTGGAATTAGTTTGAAGAATCACTGGTGGAGATTTATATTTTTATGGCTTTTATCCTCGTGTATAACAGGTTTAGTAGTAAGAAAAGCCATTCAGAGACCAATCGAAGGTACCACACCCAGGTAATGCCAAGTAATTATTAATGGTGTATCAGCAATAATCATGAAATAATAAAACTTTATTTCTTTGCAGATTAGTATACAAATGGTTTTATTTTATTTATAAGCTCAGCTATGTATTGGGTATAATCGGATATATTTTCATTTTGCTTACATTCTTTGGTCTAAATATCATATTAAATGTTAAGCCTCATGTTTGGATGGATTGGGGCATGTTGTTCATATTTTATGGTCTTTACTTTGGAGTATTAGGAAGAGATATTGCTGAAATATGTGCTGACACAATGGCATCACATATCGGAGTACATATTAGACATATGCATTGTATAAGACGTTAAATATATATTATATATATATGTAATTGTACGATGTTTAATGTGATTTTCAGTATTATACTCCCGATAGCATGCCAACCAGGATTCTGGAAGTAAATGTTTGTGCAGTATGTGGAAATAAACTTTTAGTTTCTGAGCATGAAGAAGGTGTGATCGAAAATACATACAAGCTTACTTGCGGTCATGTTTTTCACGAGTTTTGCATTAGGGGCTGGTGCATTGTGGGGAAAAAGCAAACTTGTCCTTATTGCAAAGAGAAAGTCGACTTAACGAAAATGTTCCGCAATCCGTATCCTTTTATAATGTAACACGAAAAAAATTACTACTAACAATCGTTTTATGGTTCAAAAAATATTTATTAAATGCCTTAACGAACAATGCAGTTGGCAACGGCCGCACGTTTTATACGGTCAATTGCTGGATTGGTTGAGATGGCTTGTTGCATGGCAACCGTTAATTTTGTTTCTAGTTCAAGGTATCAATTGGTCTCTGGGCCTTGAGTAAGTAACAATGTTGGTAAAAATCAACTGCTCTCACATGCATCATTGTTATTGCAACGCTAAAGAGAATGATAACTTATTGTTAGGCATCTCAATACTGTGTTTGTATTTTTGTACATGTTGTTATTATTTTTTACTCATAAAAAAAGTTTTATTAGATAGGAAATGTAATGCCAGTAAAAATCAATAATCCTACTCGTGTCTAAATTAGTAATGATACTACATGTTGATTCTAGAAAAGAGATGTTCGTGAAAATAGCGTTCCAAAAATCTTACAATAAATATATAAACATTTTTGTAAATTAAAGAAATAAAAATAGAAAAATTTATTATATGAAATCTTTCATAATAACAAATATTAAAGCTTAATGAGAATGTGTAAACTAGATATAATGTAAATATATATCTAAAAAAAGCGTGCCACATACTAAATGAGTGATTTAATATAAGAATTAATGAAAAATGTGATATTTTTGTCTTTTCCTTCTGAAAAGAGTTTTTGAACGCATGTTAAAAACAATTGTTTTTGAAAATGGTTGTTGCATGAATAATATTTCATGAAAGACATGAGCAGGATTAAATCATTGTCCTATTATCTTCTACATTGCTCTATTTAAACTAATTATTCCGTCTGAACAGTTTTAGCAGTTAAATATCAAGTTATAGTGAAGTGTTAAATTTCTATTCATTTGTCTTTTATACTTGCAAATGTGTTCTAATAACTTCCTACTATTAACAAATACATTCCATCATTCCTAACTTAAGCCAGTAATGGGTACTGCTTCCAATATTTGCTTTGTCAGAAAATATGCATTTACGAGAAAGTCAAGAATGCATGTATGTATTCCGTAAATTGTATAATTACTTACAAAATTATTCATATTATAGTATATAATTTATGTAAAAAATGTTAAGTTTACATCAAATAATTGACATGTACATATCTTCTTTCAAATTGTGTTAATCATATTCTCTGATTAATAATGTTTTGCAATTGCGAGATGCAAATCGGAAAAGTATTTCACATTTATAAAATTATAAATTATAAGTGATAACTAGAGAAAATTATCCATCTAATAAATATCATGTTTCTTTTTATTAGTGAATAAATATCGATATTTTTAACTCTGCCAGATTCCGTTAAATTTGATTGCATAAGTGTTCTTCAAAAAATTACTTTTTGATTTAATTTTCATTTCTTAGTAAATCTTTTACGAGTAATAACATTTTTCTAGTAAATATCACACAAGTTTCGCAACATTTAAAAAAAATGGAGATCAAAGTATTATATTATACATGCATATGTATTATCATTGTTGTATTATAGTTGCACTTAACTCTGTTGCTAGTCGCTCTAAATATTGAGAGATGTTTCTAAAATATAATATTAATTATTATTTATAGTACTTCCTTTTTAAGATCGTTCTAAAGAAGAAGAATATCCGATATATGTTACATTCTTAACAGTTAGTATAACTATTACTTTTATTCTGTTCCTTTTAATTCGACAAGTGTGAAGTTTGTTAGTGTATTGTGCTGTTTGATTATAATAGAATGTAACATATATCTCTTGTTGTATACAGAAAATAGTATGTAATCAACTATTTGTAAAGAATGCAGCTATTGTGAAGAACACATCTTTTGCAATAAAATTATGTACAAAACGACATACTTAGCTGTGGTATTCAATTCCTCCGTATTGCGTTCTTGTTAGTCCAGTAGTTTTCATGGAAGAAAAAATTCGTTCGTTGAATTTCTAAAAAAACTAAATCTTAAAGTAATAGTTTAAATTACATTAATGTGAAATGTATAACTGTATTTATTTTTAATCAATTTCTAACTATTGTTAACTCTCTCACGACTAAAAAATTTATTACAAGAATCAGCATCATTTTAATAATTATTGGTAAATTTAAGATATTTTGAGAATAAAATATTTATAAGTAAGAGAATAAGATTATTAAAATTAGATATTTTGTAAATTAAAATATTAATATATATTAATTATTTTTCATAGTAATATTAGCGAAAGTAATATAAACGTTGAAAAGGAGTGTTGTTTAGTTATGAGGGAGTTAAGGTGTATCTTTGTTTCTTGTAAGCAAACGTAGCAATTTTCCCTGAGCACAATCAATATTGCTTATAACTTATACGTAAGAACTTTAAATGAATTTGCGATTATCTTTTTCTTTTCATAATTTTTACAGAGTAACAAATACGAAGGAGGATCAGCATGAAAAAACATTCGTAACGGATGTAACGGATTAACTACTACCGCACGCTATATTGTTAGATAATTTTTCTGCTAGCACCGACAGATAAGTTCCTATTTACACACTCGAAATCTCTTACTAAGAAGTAGATCTGAGAAAGGATATGATCTCGTTGGACGCGTATAGGGTTCAAGATAATGTATACATGTGTGCGTGTATGTGTGTGGGCATAGTAAGAGAGAGATAGAAAGACAATGATAACAACTTGTCAGTGATGTTACTAAAAGACTTTAATTAACTTTCTCGTTATTATCGATAGAAAAACAACTTTCATCACATCACGTATCCATAGGTACTTGTCAGACCATGTCGGACCCGTCGCGAGAGTATTATATATAATTCGTATTTATATTTATATTTATATACATATATATTTGTCTATAAACCTAAAGTCTTTCGTGGACACTTGTGGGATGAAATTCCAGGGCGAGGTGTACAGGGTAGCGCTAGGAAAGTGAGGATAAGATAACAGAGGCCAAGGGTGTAAACACATTTAACGATTATCTTTCAACGAATTCGATGAAACAGAGATGGTGACGTTAACACTTGAAACTTGATCTTTGGCTTGTTGGATAGTTCAGACGCCACGAAACGACGGGATCGTTAGGATGGGTCCAGGGGCAGACATTCACAAACACGGGGAAATTTTATAGATATATTTATTGAGTACTTAGCGTGTAAGAGTATAGAATATATGTTACCTTATTGTTAAATATCATTACATGGTAAATATATTTCTATATATGTATATGTATATGTGCTCACACATATATTTATACATATATATCTCGTGATGTAGTCTTTAAAATAAATTTGCGCGCGCGCGCGCGCGCGTGTTTACATGTGTGTTCAAGATATTTACATAATCGCAATTAATATGTACAAGTTCACGAAAAACAGAAAGTAAAGTACAGACGAACGGGCGAGCGTTGTGTATCGGTCGTGTCGGTGATCGCCGGTTCGCCGTTTGAGTCCCACGCGAGGATACCGAGTGTCGGGACCCGAGCCGCGTTCACCGTCACGCCAATGCCAAGAATAGATGCCAGTAAAATTTTTACTTCCTCCGTTTCCTCTTTTTCCGTGTATAAATTGACCGCCGTCTTTATATGAAAGTATAAAGGTCGCTACGGTGAGATGATTTTTCCTTTTTTTTTTTTCCTTTTGCGGGCACGGGTGTACGAAACTACCATCGCTACGGATATAATTGTAGGTACCCTAATTAACAACATCAACGTCGCTTACGATTGTGGGCTCTTTTTTTTTTTTTTTTTTTACGTAGCAGCTCTCTTTTTCTTCATCTCGTTGCCCGCGAAAACGATAATGGAGGCTTCCTACGACGCTTCGAACACAGCGAGGTGCTTACGAGATTCGTTAAAAGTCTAGGATAAAAATTCTCACGACACGTGTGGTTCCTTACATTCGGATATGAAGCTCTCTGTTTTGGATCTTTCGAGGATTTCTTGGATACGGTGATGTCATTTGCGCGAAAAACGATTGCAATCCTTTACAGAAATCCAATTAATACTGAAATGTGATGAATTATTTATCTTGAGTATTAAAAGCACTGTTGTTTGATACTTAATAAGTAATTAATCATTAGTATTACGTTTTTCTGAAGTAAATAATCTCTAGTATTAAATTTCTGTAAGGAATGTGTACGACACGCGCACAGAGTGAGAATCGCCTCGTGGTTGATCTTCAGGCGCGTTCACCGTGTCCGAAGTATCGCGAAGACTCCGTGTTGTATCAGTCGCAGGGCCACAAGAAGCGCTCCGTCGTCACCGGAACGGAACGATATATCATTCTTTTTCGTATTATATGTACAAAACGAAATATCACGCGACCGCCGCAAATTTCTCGGAGGCATGTAGAAAGAAGCGCGACGAGCGCGTCCGACGAGCGGTGTCTCTCGCGACTCGCCTGTGTATACATTATATATAATATATATATATATAAAAGAAAAAGCGCACGACTTCCTTCCTTTCCCCTCGCAATAACTATCGTTATAACGCAACTCGCATATTT